CTCTCCTTGTGGGAGCTGAGCAGCTGGGCCGAGTGGAGGGAGTGTGGTGGATGAGGCCGTGTCAATAATGCATGCAATGTGGAGGTCACCTGGAGACGGAGGCCATTTTCAAAATGCTCCACAACCAACTCATGTGCAGGAACGCGTTAAAAATAGAAAAAGTGGTTGGACAAAAGAGCTGACTTCAGCGGAAGGCCTCCAGAGCCCTGGTCCAGTCATCAACCAGCGTGTTACATCTCACATGCAGATGTTTTAATAGATGAAATGGAAAAATGGCAGAAATCACATCAACAGTTCTTTCTGTTTTCCACTTGGATAATCTCCAGGAGAAGCTGGGACATGTAAAAGCTTTTACGTGGATCAAGAATGAATGTTCAGGGAGGAACAGGATGGACATTCTGGTTTGTTCCATGACGTTATTTAAATGCATTGTGTTTACAGCTAACAGCTGATTTCTGAAAACCTCTGGGTTCTCTCTGATGACTCTGTGATCCTTGCCACCACCAGGACAACAATCCTTCACACACCTGGATCTGAGGAAGTCACAATAAATCTCCGGGTATCCCTTTTGAAAAATTAAGCAGGGATCAGGGTTCTGGTGTCTGAATCCTTCATCTAGCACTAAATGAAGACCTTCGTGTGGTGGAACTTTAGTGTGTGTGTGTGTGTGTGTGTGTGTGTGTGTGTGTGTGTGTGTGTGTGTGTGTGTGTGTGTGTGTGTGTGTGTGTGTGTGTGTGTGTGCGTGTGTGTGTGTGTTTCCTCCTTCAAACTCCTTCAAAAGACGTTGGTTTAAAAATGACAACAAAGCCATTCGACTCATTGTTTTTTATGTTCCTGAACACTAAACCTAATTCAATAAATTAGGTGAAAAACATGTTAGAATCAGTTTTAAACCAGGACTTTTTTCTTTAGAGTAGGAGAGAAAAACCTGCTTTTCTCCTCTGAAGGTGTCTGACATGCAACAGGACAGACAAAGTTTAGATTTCCTCTAGGTGGCAGTCAGAAAGCATGTTTGGATCCCCGCTCAGCTCTCCAGCAGCATGATGACCCTTCGCTGTGCGGCCATGGTGTGGACTCTTCCTTTGGTCTGTTCCTGGAGGAGGACGTTGGGAAAGGCAGGTTAAATTTAGGGGCCTTGGTCAACCCTTGACCTTTTGCTCTGGGCAAACGAGTACCCCATGGTGCTGTCTTATTCGTTTAGAACAATGCCCTTCATGGTTGTGTCTCTGTGTTAAAGTGACATAATAATATCAAGTCAGTTCAGGTAATTGACCTCTTTAATCTCATTCTTGGAGTTTGTATGTATTTTTTCATCAGATGTTACTTATGGAGTGACTGCACTGCCATAGAGGACCCATGTGTTCATTCAGTAGTTCTGCAGCACCTTCAGTGTCAGACCAAGAAACAATCAGGAAGTTACCAAGTGTAGCATGATTCAGATGCTGATTACAAAAGAATGGCTTGTAAAATATGTGCAGTTTTATCAAACTCAATTAAAGTGGATTCAAAATTGAATAAAAGGTTAAACTGTTGATACAGGAAAAATGGGAAACTCGAAGTTATGTTTAATAAGTGTTCCCAGTGCCTCCGGGCCGTGCGGTGCCGTGCTGAGAAACGGGCCGATACGCACAGGTGCTGCGGCTCTGTTGCTCTGCCCACTGTCCGCAGCACAAGACGAAAGATCACAGCCAACGCTCTCACGCCCTCAACACACGCGCACGCGCGCACCCACATTCCATATGTGCAAAGCGGTTTATGTGCGTGAGGGATGTGTTGAGAGCTGGTCATGTTCGCTTGAATAGGCAAGATTTGGGTTGCTTTCATGCTTGTTTTAAAAGGATGAGGCTTGCGTATTGGCAGTACACACACACGCGCATGCGCGCGCGCACACACACCTCTCGACCACAGTTGGATTTTATGATTATGTGTGTGTTGGGCGGTGTCACAGTTGGTGTGTGACGACTGGAATTACGCACATTTTACGCATCCCAACACAAATATATGCGAATAAACTCCATTATAACTGTCAAAACCCTCAACACATTTATATTACATCTCATATTGATGCCCTCGCCACACGCAGATATCACAATAACATTCCATCTTTTTCTTTGTCTAATTTCCCTGAACTTCTCCTCCTCTCTGACCCGTTTATTCTTCCCATAATTGCGTAAAAAGCAGGAGCGATTTGCTGTAATTCTTTTCTAAAAGGTGACGCAGGATGGCGGAGCTTTAATGGTGATGCTCAGGTGAAGCTATAATGTGTAATTAATGTAGAGTCGTTTCTTTTGGCCTTTACGCGGATTGGCTTATTGCTGCAAATATTTTACGCATGAACCCGGAGAGAAGGGTCGGTGTTGCAGAATGCCAGGTCACAGACAAGGAGCAAAGTTTTACCAGTCAGTCAAGAGAAAAGCCCTGAAAGAGAGGAGACACTGCAGAGCTCCAAACGGACCCACGGTGGGGTTTTAAACTGATGTGTACACATATACGTCAATAAAGTTGACATTTTAGGACTAGACTACTTCTTGCCACCAAATCCCAACCTAACTATCTCCACTTCTTTCCCGAATAAAACATATTGTCTTATATTTTGGTGCATTTTTTTAGTGTGTTCATTTTCTTCTGAAATGAACTTTGGTGCACGAGCTCAAAAGTGACCGCATGGCGCAATCAAAGCAAAAATCAATTAGAGATATTTCTGAAGAGCTCGCGCGCTCGAACATATAAAACATATATTTTCACGATCTCAATGAAAAAATACAAAAAATAAACTTTTGAGAGAGAAAAGGAGAGAAGTGGAACTCCGTTTGTTGCCGCACTCGTCTCGTTTACTCTCCTGTAAGTATCACACACACAGATTACTCTTCGCTAAGTTCCTTTGTCTTCTGATCCATATTTGAGTTGACAGATCACGAACAAGAGCTCCCCCACTGTTAATGACCCCAGCAGCAACAGATAGACTCACTTGCAGCGCTGCTGCTGCTCTGGCCTACATATGTTTGGAACAACCGCGCACCTGGTTACATTAGAATCATTATTAGACATGATTCGAGCACACGTTTGCAAAGAAACTCAAAAGTTTTCTCCTTTCTTTTTTACACATCTATCTTCTACTTTTTTTTGTTTTCCCAAAGTAAGTTCAGATTTATGTGCATATTTAAGCAGCGTTTTCCAGATCTGTGGCTTTAATGAACGTAATGTTGCGCAAATGAAACCCTTTCATGGCTTGTTTTGTATTCATGAGCCCCCTATCTACGGCTCCATCTTTCAGATAAAGCCCTAATCCTCGTGTCCTCCATTGCTGATAAAAATGCTCTTCAGTTTACGATTAATTTAATCTCAATCATAGCCGGGAACGGTCGCAGCCAATAAAACTTGTGGAGTGCGTAAATGGAAAGGTGGGAGGAGGGGGACGGGGGTTGATCAGCTAGGGTGTCTTGGACCATCGGTGCTCTTGATAGGCCCTATCTGTCTCGCGCAGACCGAATTAAGACTCGGAATTTGTATAAAACACAGATTTTCTTCATCCGAGCCAGGCAGAGCGGTGGGAGGTGGTCTGTTTCAACCAGGCAGGGAGCTGAAGCTTTGCACTGCTGCTTTATGCCCTCATTTATTTTATGATCACAGGCATGTTGGGTCACATCTAAAGCCGTTTTTCTTTTGTTTTGATCTGTAACAACCTTGTAGGGCACCAGAGAAAACTAAATCCGTTGTCAAATCTAATACACAACCAGAGCCTGCAGATTTTACCCCAAAAGTTAAAAAAATATTTAAAACCCATCGTGATTTTAATCTGTTAAACTGATTCAAATGTCGTTTAAGTAAATGAAAGTAACCTAAATCAAACATTGCAGATGAGATGTTTGGATTTTACGCACCATAATTAGCTTTAACCCCAATTTTCTGTTTCCATCCACCTTTAATAGATGCGTATTTACGCGCTACTTCGTTCTGACAACTTCTCAGGCATCACACGCTCAAACTATCCTTTCCGTGAAGTCTCTGAGCGTCTTGTTCCTCTCTGCTGCAGCAGGAACGTGTTTCTACACACTACAGCTCGCTGTCAAACAAACACCAAGGCCAGATCTGGCAACAATCGTTTAGATCCTCTCCGCGGCTACGACTTTCTGAAAGTCTGCCTGAGCCAAACAAAAAACGCTACTTCCTGTTCACAAGAAAAAAAAACTTTTTGGAGTTAAATGTGTGAACGAGAAAGTGTTTCCAACGAAATTCATGGGGCAACAGTGTCCCACAGCAAATGTACACTGGTCTGGTGTATAATTGGTTGGAGATTTGGATGGAAAGGAGACTGCAGAAGAGAGAGAGACAGCTTTTCTTTTTTCTTTTTTGAGGGGGAAATGGTTCTCCTCCTAGGAAGAAAAGCTCTTTTCAGGGGCCACAATGGGAGCTTGGGACATGGGAGGAGTCCCATCGTGATTAGCCCATTTAATGGCGCGTTTACTTAATTTCTGTATTCACCAGCAACGGTAAACAAAAGGGAAAATAGCACTCACATTTCTAAGTGCTACATCACGTTGACATTTGCCAAAAATTTGTATAACTGGACGATCATACATCGCCAATAAGAAACATGAAAAAACGGATAATCTGTTTAAAAAATGCTAAACTTTGCAGCGATGCTGTGTTTTTAAAGGTTCTGATGAGTGACTTTAACTTGCTGCGTGAAACCTGCTGGGCTCGCATAAGCCACGATGAGCATAAATGCTTTCACAATCCAATAATGACCCTATATGAGCATGTGTTTAGCCACTTATGACTGTCCTCATCCGTAATCGGATGGAAACGCGGGCAGCCTGCAAAGATGCAAAGCGCATAGAAAGTGCATTCGACTTAGAAAAGCATGAAAACGCGCGCAAGGGGGACAAAAAGACTCGCTGTTGCAGACAAGAGGAGGAAGTAAAGATTCTGCAGATGATAGAAAAATAAGCACTTTTCATGAATGATTAGATTTTCCATGAAAAACAACAAAAACGCCTGTAACCACGTCAGTTTTAAGTTTTGACAATTATTTTATGTAGGAACACCAAGTCAAGAAAAGTGAGGAGAGGGATAGAAAAGAGGGTGACACGGATGCGGGGAGGGAGGGGGCAGAGCAATAATTATGTACAAGCATATTTCTACACGTATATTACACACCGGGTGGATGATCGCATTATTTCAGATATACATAATTCAATATAAAATTTTGAAAATAAAAATAAAAATCTGATACAGTCATAACGGTTCGACATTTTTTTTTCTTTTTTATCTTTTTGTTTGTTTTGACCATATGTAGGCAGGCAGTGACAGAAGTGGATTTAAAAAGGTGCTTACGACTTAAATGATTGTCTGATGAACACAAAGTAAAAAAACAGGATTGCATCTTGTTTGCACTGCGGCTTCCTCACAGCCATCATCATCATCATCATCATCATCATCATCAACATAATCATCATCACATAAAACCGGGGGTGGGGGGAGAGGAGAGCCAAAAAGTGCGATGAAGACACCAAGACGATCTGTTTTTATTCCCATTGGTCGATGTTCCTGGTGAAAAGAAAATCCTGCATTCAGGTTGTTTCCCTGATTACAAAATAAAAATAAAAATAAAAAAAAACATCATGCAAGTGTTGTTGGTGGAGTGGGGTGTATGAAGAGGAGGGGTAGGCGTGGGTCCTTTGAAAGCGCTTTAATAAAAAAAATCGACGTGCTTTTATCTCTTTTTATTTTAATATTTATATCAATCAGTCCTTTTTTCATCCGCCATATTTAATAAGTCTTTTTTCTTCTTCTCGGGTCCATTTTCCCTGTAAATATTTCTCTTTTTGTTTGTTTTTCTGTTATTTATCTTGTCTTTCCGTATCATACATCGCACTCCGAGTCACTGGATGTGACGGACAGGATGGACGTCCCAGTATCAACTCTCTCTGTCATACTGGAAACGCTGGTGGTGGGACTGGCCGCGGTGGACGGCGACTCCGCCGAGCTGTGAGGGGTGAGCCCGGCTTCTGAGAGGGACCTCATACCGGTCGGTCCTATTGCTTGGTGCTGGAGCCTGGAGAAGAAAAGAGGCGAGGAGGTGGAGAAAAACAGAGAAAGGAGGGAAAAAAGAGAGAAATGGCAATTAGACCTGAGAATGTCACCCCTCCTCCTCCCTCTGCTCCTGCTGCATAACAGGCGTTCAAACTGGTCCTGTTTCCCTCTGCCGGCCCCAGCTTTTATCAAACAGGACAAAACACAACACCGTTTAGACTAACAAATGTTGGGAGGAATTTACTTTCGTTGCAAAGCCTTGCAAGTCAACCATCTGGGCTAAAATTCCCCTTCCGTAAATAATGTGTTTTTAATAATTTTCTAATTTATTTGCATCAAGTTGAGCTAAAATGTGCTTTTATTCTACTTTTTTGACATAATCCAGCTTCAGCAAGAGGCAGATTATCACGATTTTGAAATAAAAGGATGTGTTGGAGCAAACGTAGGAAGTGTATGAATGAGTGACGTGCAGGTCCATGTTGCTCCAATCATCCTAAATGTTTATCTCCAATCCACTCACGATAATAACTCCGTCACGACGGGATAATGTCAGCGCGGAAACCTATCTCTTCATTTATCCAAAAGATTAGAATGGTGTTCATATGGCTTAGTGCTCCGGGATGCATTTTCTAATAAACTATAGCATCTCAATGAAATGATACCACGAATACAGTCCACGTCTTTTACGCATGCTCATTTTTAGTAAAGTTACATCAGTAATGTTCCCATGATCCTTCTAGATCATCTTTATTTGCCTCAACGTAAATTTACACCTATACTAAAATGATAAAACGCACCAACGGTGTGTAGCTGGGGTGTAAAAGTCAAACTATGGATATTTTAAGGGTGGTTTAAAAAATTAAATTAATAAAATAAGAATGAATACATTTCAACATATTCAGAAATGTTTGAATATTTAAAAAAATGTATCGTTTAGCAGAATAAATCTATTTTCTCCGTTTTGTTTACTGTAAAATTGTTGATCACAAAGTAAACAATTTACTTTTAAAATCTTCAAAATTAGCTTTTATTATTAGTAATTATTTTAATCTAAGTTCATGACGTTTTGTAACTAATGTTTACTTTAAATCCTTTTTATTTTTAATTGAACTTACTAAAAATGTAAACATGGATATTGTGCGCCAGAGAAGTGCGCAATGATCCCCCTTTTTTGCCTTTATTTATATTTTACTGGCCTATTTTAATTAATCTATTTAATTCTAAACACAGTTTTCTTACATAATATTTAAATATTTTGTTACTCTTAAAAATTATAAATTTAGTATTTGATTGATTTTTTTACTGCCAAAAAGTTTGTGAATTTTCCTTTTAAATTCTGTGTGTTTATGATCACTAATAGCTGTTTTCTGTTTATTTCTGCGTTATTTCATTTCCTGTGTTTACCATAATAAAAATGTCGCCGCTGCCTGCTCCCTTCACTTGGACGCAGTCTGGTCTTAATCTGTCTATCCGGAGCGTAACAACATTCATAATAAATGAAATAGAATTCAGATATGTTTCTTTCTTTATGAAAGCACAGTCCCCTGCAGCGTATCTACATTCTAGTGTTGTGATAAAGCAGATTACTCGCGCCAACCTGTTTTTGGCCGCCGCAGCTCTGTCTCTTTGCCTCCGGTTTTTAAACCAGTTCCCGACCTGTGTAGGAGTGAGTCCAGTGGCTTGAGCCAGTTCCCTTTTCTTGCTGGGGTTTGGATATGGGTCCTGAAGGTACCACTCCCGCAGCAGACTCCGCGTCCGCTCTTTGAAACAGTGCGTCTTCTGCTCCCCGTCCCAGATGGTCCGCGGCAGCGGAAACTTCTTCCGCACTCGGTACTTGTCGACAGGTCCGAGAGGACGACCGCGGAGCTTCTCGGCCTCCTGGTAGTGCGCTTCCAGCCACATGGCTTGCAGTTTGCCGTGAGAGTCTTTCGTGAATTTGTGGTTCTCCAGGATGTGGTAGAGGTCTCTGAAATTCCCCGTGTGGAACGCCACCACGGCCCGGGCGCGCAGGATGGACTCGTGCTTGTTGATCGCTTCGCACGCTCCCGGAGCCACAGGCAGGGACCAGAGGAATCGGCCCAGCCGTTCGATGTCCCCGGTCTCCTCCAGCGTCTCGCAGACGCTTGCCACCTGCTCCGGGGAGAAGTTGAGAGTCGGTAGCTGAAACATGGACAAGTCTTCTGGAGACCTGGTGGAGGGAGCGCTGTTCGCCAGCAGCAGTGGGCGATCAGCGAAGTTAGGCAGGAAGAAATGGGAGGGATAAAGCTCTAAAGGGGATCTGAAAACCATGGAAATGACCTGAGAGAGAAAGAAAATTATCGAGAAAAGGAAAAACCGAAAAATACGGCTATAGTAAAAAAAAGATTGAATGATTCAATGACTGTCGCCTAATGACACCAGCCTCATAATATCTCCCCCCTAAATCCGCCGTTGAGTGTAGCATTGAAACATTTTGTTTCCCTTTTCTATTGGTCTTCTTGGAGTCGTTGTAGCGTTGTCATGGCAGCCCTGCCAATCACTGTCAAGCGTGCCAATCATTAGCCAGTACGTAGCGCGAGGCTTTCACCACTTGTGCAGCACGCACAGGGGGTTATCAGAGTCTCCGATCTCCACAGCAACCCTCCCACTGCACCGCGCGCATCAGGCACAAGCCAATGCTCGCCTATCCGCTGAATGGAATGAGCAATTAGAGGGTGGAATATTATTGCGATCTTAACGAGGCTCGTTAAAGCTAAAGAAGATATGTAGACCAGAGATGCTCTGCAGACACGGGGAGGGAGGGGGTAGGGAGGGAGGCGGTGGGAGCTTTAAATGGGTGACAAATGGACAACCAATGACTGCATCCCGGGAATACACGTTTTGAATAGAAGCGAGTCAATTTGCACATTATTTTATATGTTTTTTTTTATTGCCTGCTGGTTCTTTTTAAATCTTAATATATGTCCGCGCTTAAAAAAGCAAGAACACAACCTGCTTGGCATTTTTCTTGTTTTAAAAATTGCGATTCAGCTAAAAAAAGCTTTCATTTTTCCCTCTGATCATGACTTTCCTCCAGCTTGCTGAGGTGTGTGGTCACTGACGGTCCCCGGCCCAGGCTCTGGGATGCAGGGTGCAGCTCTGGCCCTCTGCCCGCTGCTTTCCACAAAGACAGCATTTAGTTCAGTCTCAGTAGTGCGTGGACCGAGATTATTACATTTAGATAACTTCGCATTAACATGTATCATTTTTTTTATTGGTCAAACCCTCTAATTAAAACCACAATTCGGGCGTTAGAATTACTAATAAATGCCAACATTAAAGCTTCTTTGAGACATAAAAGCAGTTTTCATGTATTTGGTCTGCTGGTAGGGACACGATCAATGTCCACATCCAGTCATGAGACTCGGTTTACCGCAGAAGCCAGGGCGGTGTGATTTTCATGTTTATGGCTAAAACGGCTTCATAAGACAGGGCTTACAGGGCGTTAAAATAGTGCGAGTTCACTCTGAAACGAACAGTGCTCGCATTGTGAAAGAGCCACGTACATGGCGTAGCATCTAGACTCTGCTTAATCCACCCTCCATAACGCTGACATAATGATCCTAAGCCGCCTTTCTACAAATTCATTCAAAACTTTTTCCTTCTCTCTCTCTCTCTTTTTTTTTTTTTTTTTTTTTTTTTTTTTTGCACATTCTCCTGGTCTGGATCGTCAACTTCAAGCTCGGAGGGAAAGTGAGTAGTTCCACTTGCATCATCCGTTTAGCATTTAACCCACATGACACGATGTAATCAACGTGGGTGCCTTTGCACAATTATGCCAATATATGCGCGTCTTTACGCACGGGCGTTACTTGGCTAAAAAAGTAATTTGGAATTTGGAGTGCCTAGTGTGTGTGTGCGTAACGGGGGTGGGGGGTGGTGGTGGTGGTGTCTGTGTGTGCGTGTGGGGTGGGGTGGGGGGTGGGGGTGTGTCTCGCAGCAGGTCCAAAAGTTTGCTTTGCGCTCTAACTTTGGGTTTGGGAACCCGCCTTTTCGCGGGGGGTTGGGTGGTGGGATCAAACCTGTCCACAGCGCCGCCATACGAAACCCAGAAGGACTAATTCCAAGTGGCACTTGAATTGGCCCCATTGGAAAGCTCCGTGGACTGGAAGTAAAGGCTGGTATTTTCATGCTGCAAACCAACCTTCCAGCCTATACCCTACTCCTTCCCCTCACATGCACGACCCCATGGCTTAGCAGGACTACTCAGAATATGCAAAGCCTCCTTACCTGACTGTGTGCACTAATTTGGGTGATCACAATTCCAGCCCAGGCTCCAGGTATTATCTATTATAGTGCCCTCGCAGGCAATTCGGAAATCACTCCTAGAGGAGACTGGAGGAGAAATGTAAAACCTGAATGGGGATTGAGAGAGGAAAGCCACTGGTAATTCACATTCTTTTACATGGCTTTTGTTTACGTTAAGCATGTAATTAACACCCCCAAACAAGTTTATTCACCTGCCGTAATTGTGTGTTTATCCGAGAGCTCTGTGAAGCAGCGGGGGACGGGAGCTCTGAATGCGCGCGGAGATTTTAGCGTCTTCTCCGTTTAGTTTCAGCCCAAAACCTCCAGACGCGACAACACAAACAAACTAGTTACACTGAAAAAATGTTGGTCAGGCATGCAGCCTCCACCCGCACGTGTGACCTGATCACGAAGAAGTTTTGCAGTGAATCATCTGTTCTTTTTGGCACGCACATCTGGATTCTGATTGCTTTTATCGTTATCAGTGTTCCAATAAGAGAAGGAAATAAACAAAGATGAAGTTACGTCATGTAGACAGGAGTACATGTGTGAGAGAGAGAGAGTGGGAGTGAGAGAGAGAGATAGAGAGAGAGAGAGAGAGTGAGAGAGATAGGTTTCGGATGAGAGAAAGGAAGAAAAAAAGGTGTTGGCTGTAAAAAGGTAACAGAGAAAGAGAAAGAAGGCTTGAAAGAAGGGATGTTGTTTTATTTTTTTGCTCTCTCGTTGACCCCTGTTTGGTTTGGCAGAGGCACGAGAGAAAAGAGGTAGCACACCCCTCCGTGGCAAACAGCAGAGAGGCTGCAGCTCCATCCAGGATTTAACTCATCCACACAGGACGGAACTCGGACCGGTGTCCGGTACGTAAAACAATTATTGCCCTGCTCATAAAAACAAAAGCTTTACTTCCCAGGACCGTCCCGTTAGGGATTCTTAAAGGTGGATTTTAAGGATGTGGACTTTTATTCCAGAAATAAATATTTATAAATTACCTTCATTTTTTTCTCTCATTGCCTTCTCTCCTGCAGAACTGCGCGGGATTCGGTCTTCAGAATAGCAATACTTGTATTTGGAGGCATCGGCTTGCGACTATCACAGGAAATTCAGCAGCGGTTCCTGAAGTTTCTCGTTTCCGATGTGTCAGATAGCTCGTGTTTGGCGGATTCATTCATAATAATATTTTTAGTTAACAGTTTTATGAAATTTTTATTCAAAATCTGGATTGTCTGATTGATTGTTTTCCCTATACCGAGCACCGGGCGGACCCGAGCCTGAGCAGAGCTGCTGTGATGCTGCAGGACGGGGCGCACAACCCCCCCTCTCTGACCATTCTTGTGAACGGAGACCCCCTGCTGAGCTCATACACTGTAAAAAGTGTCTATCTGGAAACGTCACTAACTGATTTATCTTTAAAAATGAAAATTGCCAAATGTGACAAAAGATCATTATAAATTTTAATGAAATATTTTAAGTGGGATACTTAATTATTTTTTAATTTCTTGATTTTAAAGCACATTTTTGATTAACTGAGTTGCTTTGTGACTTGATATAAGAACATTCGGGTTGGGACAAAACATAAACGGTTGTAAAATCTGCCAACTTTAAGTAGGTCTGCTGCAAAAAACTGGAATGCAGTGTTCTGCACATTCTTCAGATTTGACTTGTCACTGCAGAAGGGCATCTTTGTTTAGGACGATATGCAAAATACACATTTGTGCAAGATGTGCATTTTTTGTCTGTGATTAGTGAATGTGGCGCCAACTTTAACAGCATAGCTTGCACAAAAGTTTTTTTAACATCTCCCCCCTCTCCCCCTCTCCCCTCATCCTTTCTTTTATTGTTTTTATTGTGTGGTCTCATTAGGAGGACTTCCTGGCAGGGCTGGGAGCTTGTATCGGAGCTGTCCAATCAGTGTATTTACACGGGTTGTTAGCGACAGTTAATGAGGGCTCCTCCCCGCGCTGGTGGAGAAAGGCGCTTCAACATTAAGATTTACCTTGTGTCAACTCGTTACTTCTAATGAACCTCCCTGCAAAAAGCCTCCTCGTGGTCAATGGAGCCATGCGCCCGGATCTTGTGTGTGAATCCGGAAGAGAGGAGCTGCAAGCATGGCTCCTTCTCCGCCATCCTCATTTTTTTTCTTCCACAAGGCAAGGTGCACGCGCTTTATAAAATGCCCCATTAGTGCTTTAAATTGGCTCGGAGTTGTATTTCTGCAGATGGACAGATTGCATCCTATTTAAGTCCTGAAACAGAAATCCTGAATACGATGAGCAGTTCACAAAGTCAGTACGTCCTGCATTGTTTGCTGAATGAGGCTTGACATGTCAGCTTACTGCCTCTAGAAGTACGTTCACTTATCCTCCAGATCGGGCTCTCGCCCCTCTGTCCAGCCTTCATCTTGCCCCCCAAGTGAAGCTAAGTTGTTGAGGCGCATCAGCAACACATCACTGCCCCTGAATTCAGGTAGAAACTTCAGTTTGGAGGATCCCTGAAGTGAACTCCCCATCCAACACTCTGAGATAAATCACTTGAAAATCTATTAGCCTCCCGCTCCCAAAACAGGTGAGTGTTAACAAAACAGAAGGACTATCCTTCACTGGCAGCCTGTTTGTGCACATCTCAACAAAAGTTTCCATCAATTATGAGGAAAACGAAGCTTTACGCAATAAAACCTGCTGTTGAAAAACAATCCAATATGGATAGACAGGTGAACTATGTGCCAAGCCACAAGCCTGGGTTGTTTTAACAGCAGAGCTAAGCATATCTAGAGTTCTGCCAAAAATGTTTAAAATTCTCTGTCTGACATTTGGATATTTTACTGAATATTTATACATTCAAAATACTCAAAACTTACATTTATTTATTTGTTTGTTTGTTTCTCTATAATGTCAGAATTTTAAAATATACTTGTTTATGAAAAGTTTGATTTTAAGAAAATTAAGCAAAATCATAAGTCTTTTGTTTACTTTCCTCAAGTTTTGCGCTTTTTTTGCGCATGAACAAATTATTTCGTGCGCAAAAACTTATTCCAACTCAACAACGTAAACTAATTTGAGGTAGAAAAATCACCTTTTGTTTGTGTTTGTATGACCATTTCTCTGCACAAACAAACAAACAAGCAAACAAACAAACGACATCTTCTTTTTTCACGCCATTAACTTCCCATTAAACGCGCTTTTTTCCTCGTGTTATTTTTTATTTATTTATTTATTTTACATAAGCTGAGCCGCGCAGTCGATGCAGCAGCAGCAGCGACACGGAGGCGCAGCGCCGGAGGAGGCGCCGTGTT